TCTTGTCCAGCCTGTGTAGCTGTACAGCAATGAACATACAGAAAATCAGATGAATGCATGACTATCACTGAAATTAAACTGGACTGTAGCAATCATTGCAGGTAGTTTCCTAGCAGGGGTTCAACAAAGGTGGCAGTACAGAAATAGTTTTCAGTGTGTGAATTTCAGATCTGAGGCAAAAATCCCACGTTCCCTGGGTGATAACTGAAAAGAGTTTGCTCTACTGACTCATAAGCCATGAAGGTGTCTTATGGACAGCACTGTACCTGCTGAATACAGATACTGCTACCCCACTGGCAAATCCACGTACTTTCACTCTGGTAATCTTGAATCCTCTTGAAAGATCACAGCAACCTAACTGCAAAAAGCAGACAAGAAACAAAGGGTTTCCTCTGAAAGGACTGACTGAAAAGGAATGAATGATCCTAGGCACTTGCTTCCAGAGCAAGTTGTGGCAACCTCTGATACCCAAATGAGGAAGCTGGGCTTCCACACAGCACAAATGCTAATAAGCTGCAATATTCCAGTGACCTTGCCTAATTACAAGGACACGCTAGGCTTTGGGTAAAGAAAGGCTGCACACTTCTTTATGGTGATGTTACTTGTAATGCAGAGGGTAAAGTTTGCACATTGCCTTCTGCTTGGAATAACCAGATGGTCCAGTTTAGTTCATAGTCCTTGGTTGTGTCAGCAAAGTAGTCAGGGTTTATCTCCATTACCTGCTCATCTATCTGCTCTGCCTCCCCTCAACCCCAGCTCAACGTTATCATTAGTCCTACGTGTGTTTTGCGCCACCTCTTCTCTGCCAGCCACTTCCTTGTAGAGCTGGCACAGCTCCAAGATGGTTTGCAATCCACAACATGGAGCTTTACAGGTTCAACAAGAGGGACAGCTTGCTTTGCCCTAGATTGGGAGGGCAGAAGAAGTGGGCAGGAGGTTATGGTGGCAACAGGAAGCAGTGGAACCTAACAGAGGACAACAGCATCCCAAGGTCATCTCAAGGTAGAAAAGGCAGGTATCTGGGATGAAGAGGGGCAGGCTAGCTCCTGGGGAGAAAATAAACATGGCTTTTCCAGAGGGAAACGGGAAGGGAAGTAGAAGAGCTTTTAAGACACTTTTGATCCATCAAAAGGTCTCCTTTTCTAAGCTAAAAGAAAGGTTTGCTCAATAGATGTCAAAATTGTGGTTTCTACTCAACATAAAGGCAAATGTGGGAATGATGCAAATGCCATAGTACCTGGCAGGTGAGCACTGGAATTAATATGACAGGCTGGTGAGCACTGGAATTAATATGACATCCTTCTTTAACCAATTCTTACCGCAGGACTTCATTACGGAATTGCTTAGTCGATTGAAAGGTCTCCGGAGAGTCACCAATCCTCAGAAGAAATGACCTTGCTCACATGGAACACCCAGCTTTGGTCACAAGGAAACGTGTGTCTTCCCTACAAAAACCAGGATCAGCAACAGCACTTCTGAATATGTTTAGGACATCACCAAGTTTGTGAACTTTGTACCAGTGGTTTGAAGTCTCCACTGCTTCCAGATCTACACATAGAGCAGGAAGCTAGAGTGTACATTTTCTTGATTCCTAAAGAGAATGTTAGTCTGGGGAACAGGACAAGGTGTCCTTCCTTTAGTTTCTTCTAGGAATTGCCATGCTGGCCGAGGAGCACTGAATACAGTTCTCAGGAGCTTGTGGAGACTTCTTTCATTCTGTCCACTGCAAGGAAAACAAGGCATTGGTTACCGCTCATTCATCAACATGGAAAATCAGTCACTGTTAAGCTGCACCCCATTTCAGTCTGGCTGGGACCCAACTGTGATCTCCTGCCTGTTACCACTGTACCTGACTCTACAGCATTGCACCTACTTTGTAAGTCTTATTAAGCCTCTGTTATTTGTGAAGGTTGGACAGAAAATATCCAGTATGAAGGAAGGAAAATGTTCAAGTGCACCTGGTCTGCTTAAGGGGAAGTCTGTGAAACAGCTGTTAAGGCTAATGGAAAAGATTTTTTTTTTTTCTTTTTTATGGAATTTAGGACTTCATGATTTAGAAGTGTCTTCTAAAGGAGCAAGGTCTGGGAACAATTTTTCTCATAATTTAAAAAGATGTAAAAATACTTATTTTGTATATTAAACCAGAGAAAACCAGCCGTGCACTGCTTGCTTTTGTTCTCTCTTTGGTACGAAGAAAAAATGAAGTAAAAAAATATCTGCTCCTCATTTCCCTTCAGGGAGCATCTCGGAGAGAGTCTTTTTACAGACAAGGTAGGTCTCACAAATGAGCAGTGAAGTAGGACACACTGTCTTGCTGGACAAACTCTTCTGGCTACAACTAATGTTTGTCTGGAAAAATACAGAGGAAACTACATCCAGCCTCTCAGCAGGTCAGTAATTTGACACATGTGACTAGGAAATAAGGTAGCAAATGGAGGCTGATTGCTTAGGCAGAGCACTCTCACATTAAGCCTGCCCCTATGCTCATGCCTGCCACTCGAACACAAGAGTTGCTGAGTCACATCCAGAGGGGCTTCTATGTACCAGTACATTCAAGGCCAGCTTTTGAGTAGTTGTTCTGTTTGTTTGTCAGACAGGAGCAGAAGGGACCAACTCTGGAACAGGAGGAACATGCAGGTTAGCTAACAAACACAAACAAGAATTCTTGGGCTGTACCAGTAATATCTGAAACACATCAGTCTTTCCATCTTTATCCGTAGCAAAGTGACGACTATTACCTTTTGCTTCCCTCCTGTATTCCAGGTGTCAGTGAACAAGCTGTGGGCTCTGTCCTGTGAGAGGACAAAATCCAAGCTGCAGTAACAACTGTGATGTAAGGGCTTGCTTCCCTTCAATGCTGTTCTTGTAGCTGACTGTTCTTGTAGCAAGCCATGCAGATCGTATCCTGTTCTAAGGCTGCTCCAAGATGCTCTAAGCCTCACCCACTAGGCTGGAGAAATGGTCTTCCTTTATCCGGGCCAATATATATCTATGGTAGTCCTGGGAACATGCCATTTTTCACCTAGAAAGGGACTAACAGGACATGCCTGCCCTCCTGAAATCTCAGCTTTGTAAGTAAAATAACAACAAAATTAAATCCAGAACTGCAATGGTTTAGATCTGGCATTGATAATGGACTGACACCTGCTAAGACTCAAGAGAGTCCTTGAGAAAGGAGAGCAGCACATGGACAAAAAACTCTGAGCACGGTTAAAAACGAACTGGGATCAAACAGAAGTTCAGGTGGAAGATCTAGGTGGACAGGCCATGAGCAGAGTGTCCTAAACTAGAGATGCAGCTGGTTACAGCAAGTAGTACATAGGAGTCCAGATTACTTCCGCACTCTCCCAAGAGGCTTTGTTTTACTCTGCTGAGCAGCAACAGCACAAAGACCTGACACATCTCTCCTCTAGCCCAAAAGAGATATTCTTCTCTTCTCTGGGCACTGTTCTATATTTCCTCAATATGGAATAATGCAAAGTAGCAGCAAAGGAGTAAGCTGCAGCCCCTAAGATGTGCAGTTGGGTCTGATCCATAAGGACATCAGTACCGTGTGAGAGAACTTCAAAGGCATACAGTGTTCACTGGAAACAAGGCAACATGTAGCCAGGGGCAGATGATTTCTCAGCTCACTGGTGCAAAAGAAAAAGCAACATAAGGCAATCAGAGAAACTTCTTTGTTTAGTTCTTAAACAGCAGTAAATCATACTTGCTTGTATTTACATGTAGGCTGTTCTCACCCTAGACCACAAGGATAGACTAAAATCAGTGTTTTAAAATTTATTTTTACAAATATCTTTCAGTTAACTTTGCTGTCTCTCAGCACCATCACTAGCATAAGGCTGCAATGTTTAGTATGTACATACTGTGCAAGAATGTTACTTTAAAGGAACTTTGCCTTCTTGATTATACCAAGATAACTCAGAATGTGCGAAAGTTCATGTGGTTTTCTAATTTGCATCCTTGTTGGGGTGGAGCCTACATTTGATAATTCACATAAAAAACATTTTGAGAGGGAAAGAAAATCTCGTCCCTTATGACATGCTACAAAGACAGAAGCAAAGAAGCTAAATCTCTTTCTTGAAGATGCCGAGCTGTCTTCAGTCCTTGAATGGCTATGACTGAAGTTGATCTGGCCTGCCAGGAACTGATTGTTTACCGATATCTTTTCAAAGACAAGGACAGGGAGTAAGCAACAGAGCCGACAGAGCACTGCCCACTTAAAGGTCATGCAGCATTCCTCTTACACAACAACAGATTCAGCTAGGTGTGCTTCCTGCAGACAGCTATTGGGATACCCCTTTACCCCTCCTCCATGGAAGTCACTGAGGCGACAGCTACAGTGGGAAAGGCTTTTCAGGGGAAAGTGACTGAGCTGCTACTAAAACAGCCAATTACATGCAGAAAGCGCAGCAGCCACAAAAATGTCCATTAGTGGTGCAGGGAAAGCAGCAGCATGTGTATGACCAAAGAAACTCTTCCATGTATGACTAAGTTCTATTTCAGGAACTGGGTTGGGTGCATTTCTGAATTCCTTGGGATGGCCCCAGAGAAACCAATCTGGAATCTAAATAAACTGCTTCCGGCTGTAACCTGCTCCATTACTAGTGATGTGAACAGGGCAGGGCTTACAAGACACAGGCTGCCTAACTGCACAGGAGCTCAAAGTTTGGTTGTGGCTGATGAAGCATCTAAAATGTTGCAAGTAGCACACCAACTCATACTAAGATATTAAAAAAAAAAAAAAAAAAACAGCTGTAAATCAAGAATTAAAATTACCACTAACTGCTTGAAAAGGACACAGGCTGAAGCCCAAAGGAATGGATCAGTCTTAGGAGAGATATAAGAACAGATATTTGCACTTTCCCTTATATATACAAAACACAAAGGATTTAACCTAAGACAGAACTGGACTGTCTATCAGACCAATTAGCAAATAGCAATGAAAAAGTGTCATTCTTATGGTAACACAAACACAGAAGAGCATTTTGTTTTACTTCTTAAGACTGCAAGCTTCTCAGGGCTGTAGCTTATCTAAATTTGGTGTACCATAGGGCTCATTGTGAGCTCTCACATCAGAACAACTCGTTTTCCCATGTACCTGTCCCAAAGAGACAGGCACTGGTGAAGCAAGGACTGCCAGGAGAAAGAAGATCCTCCATAGACACAAGGCTTTGCCACTCTTTCCTAACAAAAAGCTTTGACGGCACTGCTGCATACGTTTTCAATTTTTAGTGTGTTTCCCTGCAGTATTACTATTCTACATTGTCTGAATCAGGTTTCTGTTGAAGGGCCTGAGCCAGTGCAGCACGTTAGGACAAACCCAGCTTCAACAGCAGTTTAATTTATTTGCTGCGCTCTGACCAAGGGTGACAGAGGTGCAGCAAACACTGTTTTGTAAGTTCACCTTGGAGGCAGTGACCTTAAGCACAGGGGCAGGGCAGACAACTGGGAGTGGCAGAGTCAAACCAGACAGGCAAGATTCATTGGAAATTCCCTGTCAAAGGCAAATCCTTTATTTTGTTGCTATTGGAATTTGTCAGCCTTAGAGAGCTCTCCCAGAAGTTCACATTACTCTGGAAAGGGCTCATCCTGATGGAATAATAAAGCACGTTTACAGCAAGTTTAGTTGGGTATTTGGAGCAGTTCTGGGTGCTCTGGACACTGCCAAGTGCCACTTGCATCTGGATTGTCTCCAGGAAGGGATATGAACATATGCAACTGAGCTTCTCTCACAGCCAGAGAAAGAGTATAACATGGGTAACATAATTATCCTACCAGGGGAACAAATAATTAACAAAGCTAAATCCTATTTTCAGACTAATGCAGAACTCTTCTAGACTGATAGGTTGGTCTTACAGACCACATGACGTTGGCACAGCCAGTGCAGATCACAACACTATGTATCAGTAGCAGATTACCTTTAAAAAGGATCCTTCAAGTGAGCAACACTGCCCATCAAGGCAGAGTCGCCCCTGCACCTTTTCCAGACACACCACAGAAACACTTCTGATGACTTCCTGATTCTTCATTTCTTTCCCTACGCCACTTGGCTCAAGGACTAACATACCATTATAAGAAGGCAACAATTTGTAAAAGGGCTATCAGGCGTTTCCAGGAGAGACTTTAACCACAGGCCTCTGTAAATAATTTTTATTACAATTTGAAAGTTCTCATCACACACATGATCACAAAGTAGACAGTTTTCTCAGTGCTTTGCTGCCTGTTGAACCAGTGTGTAAGCTGTTAGCAAAAGCAGGAAGTTACTTATCAGCCAGTAACTGCCTTAAACACTCATCTTTACTGCAACCCACATTGCCTTACCATCTGTATTTATCGACTCATATCCATCTCCTCATTTATTCCCAAGCATGCACAGCAAACCCTGCACTTCTCTGGTGTATTTGTGAGGACAAAGTCATACGCCCTCCAAGCCTCTCTCGGATTACAGCACATCCTTTAACTGTCCAAAACATCACCCGTTTTGGCTGCAAATCCACTTGGATTCTTCCTCCCATCTGGCCTGCTCCTCTGTTTTCCCATTCTCCAGCTCCTTTTCTGCCCATGAAGAACGTGATCACTTCTTGCAAGGAAGATGATAGCGGGAGGTGTGGTGGTCCATCAGGTCAAACTCATCATGGCCTTCCCTGAGAAGCAAATACAAAGTGCAGTCAGAAGTAAATACCCAGGCTGGGAATTCACCCTTAGCTACTGCACAAGGTATCTCCCAGCAGCTCTTAACTAGAAACTTATCCCAGGAGTTAGCTGTGAGGACCTGACTGGCAGCCACATGGACTGACTACTTAAGGTATTCACTTGCAACAGAAACCTCTGAGGTGCTTTGTGGGAAGGTCTGCTCATCCTTGCCTGATGGATTCAAAAATGACAATAGATCTCTCTGTCTCTTCGCCTCTTGGAGTGATTCATGTAACTGATGGCTCATTTTCAGCACTATGTCTATGATTCTAGGGATAGTAGCAACTCCTATGACAACAGACAAAATGACAGTCTGCTCTGCCTAACTCTGTTGAGGCTGAAATGCAGCTTATCGGCAGCTGTCTGAACCACGCTCAGCAGCAGGCAGTGTTGAGACACAAGCCTGCATCTGCAGGGAGCAACTGATACACTCATTCACCTGCCAATCTGCTAATTCTGCTTTTATTGATGTTTGCTGTTGGATACTTTTGTTTGTTTGCTTTGGTTTTAATAATCTAATACAGCCAATCATATGCTTCCTTAACATTTTCATATTTTTCCTGTTCCATTTCCATTTCTCTACAAAAACATTTGAAGGAAATCAGAGAATATACACAAAAGCATCTCTTGTTATCCAAATCGGATTCTTAGCAACTTGCTGTCTAAATTTCCTCCAGCCAGTTTCTTCCAGCCAACTACCCAAAAGTTTTGAGGCATGAAAGAAGAGCAGTCACACAACCTGTTAGGAAAAGCTTTGTATTCGAAGGAATTAACCCTTTAAATCTGAGACATGCAATATTTTTCAGAAATCAAGCTCAAAATGTTTAAGAACCAAGACTACAGCTGCCCCAAGGCCTGACCGGTGAAAAAGGGTTCAGATATACATATTTCAATAAAGATCTTTTTAGTATGGTTTAAGATTGCAAAATCTCAACCTAAGAAAAGCTTCAGGAATTTATACTATCTGATCTCCCCTCTTAAGGGAACACAGCCCAGATCATCCATCAATGGCACTACACAAGCCATAGGAGTCACTGAACAATAGTGTCTTTTATCCCATCCCACGTAATGCAGCACACCAGCTGCTCCAGAGAACACTCAGACAATGTGCCCAAACATGCACTGAAGCAGTACACACAGAACATTTCTGCCTAGGATCAGTTTAGTCCCTGAAGCCTGGGATAACTACTTATCATGCAAAGTATTTCCATAACAACTAGCATTCAGCTCGGATCTGGGTTCCTTAAATATTCCCTCCTACTGCCTGTTTTTCTGCCCAATGGGAAAAACAAACAAAAGGGGCCAAGCTTTCCTTTTACCTGCCTCTCAGACCAAGAGGAATTGTAAGACTTACCGAAAACAGCGCTGGCAGTAGAGGTCCCCATCACAGCCATGGCAGCGCAAAGTGGCATCTTCGTTGCAGATACAGCACCAGGGTAACTCATCCTCATCACTATCTGCCCTGGCAAGAGCTGTGGTGGTTGGAGTCTGGCTCTAATTCACAAAGAAAACAGAGACACAGAGTTCAAACCTCAGCAGAGAAAATACAGGACTTTCATTGTAATGCACGATGGCCACAATGACCTGTCATATGGTCCGTAGTTTACTCTCTGTTGATGCTAAGTCTGTGAGAAGAACTTGCCCAGAGCCCAAGGACAGGCTCCATATGTATCTACATTGTTGAAGAAAACCCGAAGGTACTTCCTAGAATTTAGTCATGAATCTACATTGCTTGGAATATAAACAGGTATTCACTCTCATTTGGTGTCTACAGCAATATAAACCCATATTGCCTGTACTGTGTTAAGGGCATGAAGGCCAGATCTTCTGGCAGGCACCACAACAATATCATGTGACAGACAATTCCTGCTGTAAAAGCAAGCAATCAAGCAGTTTTGCTGAAAGCAGTTATGGGGGAAGGGAAAGTAATGGGAGGTTGGGTGTGTTTTCCTCCCTGTTATGGAAAGAAAAACGGGGGACAAAGGAAGTGATTTGCCAAAAGGCCCCTACTATTGATTTGTACCTGTGGTTGTGACAAAAAAATCTTCTGAAATCATAATGTAAATATATCCATAAGGCAAACTATTGTCTCTTTCTCCCTTGCAGAGAATTCTTGTGGAACTGAACAGTCATAAACGCACTGAGACACAGTGCCTGGACACTGTCAAAGGCAGCTGTCTAACATAATCTTTTCCTAACACTGCCTTTACATCAGTAATCCCAGAAATACGAGGTGGCATGCCAAGGAGATGGGTGTTTTAAAAAATGCTTACAATTAAATAATTTCTTCCATGGGGGACAGGCCTGACAGGTGACTGTCAGTCCTGCGTCCATTTACTTCTTGTAATGTACATTAGAGAACATGCCTGTATTTCCATAGTAGGCCAGAATCCACTCTGAGCATAGGATATCTTGCTACTAATTCCTTCCTCTGATATTATATGGGAACACAGACAATATATTACTGTCTAGAGGTTCTATTCTGCACAAGCTGAAAGCACCAACAAACCTCCAATTTATGCTGATTCAGGCTGTATGGTACTGGACTGTGGCCTTGCCAGTCTAATTTTATATATACATTCTCTAATATCCATACTGAGAGGTCTCTGCTAACTTCTCCAGATTTAGTTGACACCATAACATTCAACAGAAAGCCAGCCTGAAACGAATTGTATTTCAGGGGGCAATTCCTCTTAAATGGATGATTCACAACTGAGCTCAGGACTGGTCAGCCTTGCAGAAGCTGCTTGGCTTGTCTGCCCTGGAAAAACTGGTTAGTTAATTTTTTTCTGCATTAAGCCTAGGATACAGCAAACTTCTGCTGCAGAACTGTACTCTTAAGACCCTGGAATACATCAGTTCAAGAGATCCTGACCAGCTCACTGACCTTTTGCTTTGCTTTCTTACACAGGTTCTGTTGTGAAGGTCCTGGTTGGGTGGTCTGATCTGGAGGAATGTTGAATCCACTTGCTTCATCCAGGGCTGCTTCCTCTGTGAGCTGGTAACAAAAGAAAGCAAGAAGCCTCTTGTTTCAAACACAGCTGCAATCCTCATTCTAGGCCCTAAACCTCCCACCCTTCTTGCTTTCATGCAATAACAGGAGATCAGAAGTCTGAATATATCTTGTGTTATCCAGACAGATGTGAGCTCTCTCTGCACTAGGAACACTGTGTGTACACTGTGGGCAGTCAGTGCAGTAGCAGGGGCCTGTAGCAAACACACTCTGCTTTGCAGCACAACTATCAGCCGACCCTCAACATCGTGCTAATCACACGCATGTGATGAATCAGACACAGCAACTGTCTGATTGTCTGAAGCACAGCAAGCTTGGGTCTGCCTGCCAGGACAATTCAGAGACATTTTAGAGAGAAATAAGCTGTGTTACACAGCACACACGTCATCATCCATGTTCTAACTGGCTAGGGGAGAAGATGGAACAGGAAATAAGGAAGTAGCAGAAGAGTGGGGTTGTAAAGAAGATACAGACACCACAAGAGACACTAAGCATGAAGGAGAAAGGCAATGTGACAGACTAGAAGCATTGCTGTCAATCACCTGTCAAAATAGCTGAATGGCCCATGGGAGCTAGCATTGGAAAAGCATTAGGAGTGGAAGGAGTGAAACTCTTTCCAGAAACACAAACACATCCTTTGTATGCTCATCAGGTAACAGACACACTGGGCATAACTGAGAGGAAGATAAACAAGGCCACAGCTGCCACTTCTGACCTGTTTTAGCACTCTGCGAATGGCTTCCTCCTCAGTCACTTCCTCATCACTGTCAGGAAGTTTATAGTTTTCCAGTGTAACTGCAGGAGTAAGAAATGGGAGACTGTAATCCAAACTTGCTTCAAATTTTGTGCCCCCCTATATACCAGAGACAATTCCTTGTGGTGTGAGCTGGTCTTGGCACTCTGGCTCTGACACAGACAGATCCTTTTCAGGTGCAAACTCCTCAAAAAGGGTGTTACTGTTTGGTTTTAATACTGGAAGAGGGAAGAAAAAAATCCCCACCAAACCCAGAGCTTTGCTTTTAAAAGCTTTGTTAACCTCATCAGAGCATGCTAGAATTACCTCAGAGAAGGGTGCAAGACAAAGCACTCTGACCTTACAGCTCCAGCCTTTACCCTCAACTTAGATCTTTCACACTGATTTCATAATGAACCAACTTGCATAACTTTACAGACAGAATCAAATCTCAGTCTGTTTCTTGCAGAACATAGGAATTAGATGGATAAACACTTCTCAGAAAAGAAATTACTCTGTCACAGCAACTTGATTCATCTCTTGGCAGTGTATTCTCATCTGCTGCTCACCTTTCTCTGGGTCCTCGCCTTTGAGTGCTGCCAGTCTCTTGGCTACCTGTAAGATCTTCTCCTGCCTAGTATTCTCTTCCTGCAGCTCAGCAGCAGCTTCTGCCAGAAGTTTGTTCTTCTCTTCTTCTATCTGTTTTGGGTCCAGATTTGCAGGGCAAACACAATCTTCACTTTCCCGATTGAGATCATTCAAACTTTGGCTACTAACAGCTGTAAACAGACACACAGAACATGCTGGTGACTCAGCAGCAATGTTCCTTGGGCACAGAAAACACAGTGAAAGCAATGCTACTGCTGCTCTCCGTGAATCCATGTATCCATAGCATTAGGAGTAGCAATACCTCCTCCCCAGGGAAGGGTGACCTTAGAGAAACAGAGAGGAGCAATCTGTGTACAACAATCCTGACAAGGAACCATCTCCAGGCAAAGACACACTGAGACCCAGTATGGACCCAGATGGCTGTTCTTGGTCAATCTGGTAGTCATAAGAGGGAGAGATGGACAAATCGGACACCCAGCTCACCTGTAAGCTACATAGGGAGGCACATATTGCCTTCTCAATATAGCACACACATTATTAAGACATAAACAGGTGTTTGGAAGCCAAAATAAATACCTTGAGGCTGAACTCTTGGTCTGTAATGCTCATCAATGGCAACTTCCTCAGACAGTTGAGTTAACAGGTCATCTGTCTGCTGGACCAGACTTCTGGTATCAGGAGGCTGGTGTACCTAAGAAACAAAGGGGGTGTGGGAAAAGGCAAATGAGAGGAAAGTGGCATACTCGATCAAAGGAAAGTTTGGCAACCAAGATCACCCTGGAGAGAAGCAGCATAAAAAGATGCTTCCACTGATATTGAGAATTTCAGCTTGCAGCTTTATGGGGTGTATGACTTTCAAGGGCTTCATTTTAAGAGGTGCTGAATGCATACAGTTGTAAGAGCAGTTACCCAAACAATGCGAAGTGGTGCTGAATGTATAGGAGTATATGCTGCTGGGTCCCAACCCCAGCTCTGTCACTACCTCTGATGCAAACAGTGTCATTCTCAATAGTGCCAACCAGCAGCCCCACTAAGACCTACAGTAATATCTGGGCACGCAGCTGAAAAAAGATGCATGAGGAAATGATATTCTGGGGACAAGATCATTCCCATGGGCTTTCAATCCAACTGATTCCTCTGCAACATTGGACAAACCACACTAAACTTCCATTTCTGGAATATTTAACAGGATTTTTCCCAGCTGGTGTGCAGTAATGACTACAAGATACAATTAGAAGGTAGGGCTGATAAGCCCCAGCCACAGACAAACAGCTCTGAAATATTATGACCACTTAGGTATAAAAATGGGTTGAGAGTAAAAAACTTAGCAACTATTGTTAAAAATATACACATGAACTACACCTGACATGAAGGAGCACATTGCATTCAAACTGAGGCAGCGAACTGGTAAAGGCTGGCTATTTGCTTCTGAAGCAATGACACAATCAGGAAATGGAGATTTTTGAAGGAAGCTACCTGGACACAAAAAAGCTGAAGAAGGAAGAACAGTTAACATGCTTGGACACCAGTTATTGTGTCAGCTCAGAATTAATTGTTGAATAAAGAGTTGAGGGATCTTACAGGTCGGCGAGCCTGGGAAGGAGGATCTCTCCCCTGCAGGACAGCCAACCGATCCTCCATCTCCTTTGTGGATGGAACAGGTCCCCGGCCATCCTCCTTCAGGGCAGCCAGCCTAGCTTCAATCTCAGCCTGGGTAGGGATGGACTCTGCAATTCAGGATAACCCAAGAGAAGACATTATTCTGTTACTGAAAACAAAAGACTTCAGTTGTGTTTTTTTTCCTTAAAATTGTACTTCTTTCTGGAATCAGACTCTGAACATCTGAGCAAAAACCTCCCTGGGCCCTGATGTGAATGAGGGGTCATACTGCAGTGACTCAGAGACTACCCTAATGCTACTGGCTGTCCTTTTCTTCAGAGTCCTTGCCTCCTTCACAGTTTATCTCCTAGCCATAAGGTGAATATTAGGGTAACATCATTTGGCAATTAGCTGACTTGGAATACTAGGGACAGGCAGAGAAATAAGAGTCTTTGAGGCAGTACAGTCCATTGCTCCCACATCTCCTAATGCCAACCTAGACATATATCAGACTGAAACCCTCCCCTGCCACGTAAGAGGTGAGAGGCAATTACCTCAAATTGTGCCAGGGGAGGTTTAGATTGGGTATTAGGAAAATTTCTTCACAGAAGGGGTTGTCAAGCACTGGAACAGGCTGCCCAGGAAAGCGGTTGAGTCACAATCCTTGGAGATACTCAAAAGATGTGTAGATGTGGCACTTAGGGACATGGTTTAGCCGGGGACTTGTCAGTGCTGGGTTAACGGTTGGACTTCGTGATCTTAAAGGTCTTTTCCAACCTAAATGAATTCTGTGATAACAATGTAACCACTTTGCAGTGTGTTCTTTCTCTTTTAGGGATCCCACATAATTTTAAAAATAGTTTATTCTCCTGCAAGCACCTCAAGGCTGGCCCAGAACCTGACAGCTGTGGACTGGGATGAGAATCCTTTCCCTTCTCTGTGAGACAAGGCTGGCCAGAACATAGTCCCACAGAGAACTGCTGTTGCCCAGGACAGTGACCCACAGGAAACCTTCTAAAAAACACTTTGGGCAAAGACTTTAATATCATTCTGCTCCAAGCGGCCTTGACACAGGCTTTTACCCCAAAAAAAGGAAATGAGAAAGTGATTTTACACATTAGATACTGCCCCAAAATTGAGCTCTAGTTTCAAGGAAAACCCCAAGAAACAAAATAAAACTGGAACATTGACCTAAAATCATTGTAGAATTGGGCCATTGGGGCAGCAGTACTTGGAAGCTCTGTCCCATTTTGAGCCTTGATTTCCCTAAAACAGCAGCCTCTTAACACCCAGGACTCCCCTCTCCTTCCAGATTCCATGTTTCCCAAGTAGCAGTGTGCCCACTCAAGGTATTTACAGCATTCTCTACAACTCACTCGGTTTCCTTTCTTCCCTGAGCCTCTCCAGTCTCTCTGCAATAGCTCTATCCTCTTTTGAGAGCCCCTGGTATCTGGAGCCTGCTTGACCTGATGGTTTTGCAGCTGCTTTCTGTTGCTCTTTCAGCTGGTTTTGTTTAGCCTCAAAAGCTGCTACACGCCTGTGACAAGGACGGAAAAAAGACATGACAATTGAGAACAGGGATTTTAACCTGGAGATATGAAAACACCCTCTGTGAACCCAACAGAAATGAAACCACTCTCATATCAGGCTCTCCAACATCAGCACAATGAGATATTGCTAAGAGTAAGGAAAACCTTAGCTCACAGGAGCAACATGCCTGGCACTGCTTCCCACGAGACATGGAACATTTCACCACCAGGTTCCTGTTTCCAAGCCAGCTCTGATCAGTCACAGATAACTGCAGGCAGGTGGCTTTTCAGGAGTCTATTCAAAAGAACTCACACCCCACCCCTACAAACAAACTAACAACCCAAACAACAAAACAAAAGCTCCATTCTTAATCTAATTCTGAATCCAAGCAAACACCCACATCACAAGAGCCACTTTTGCAGGTGTCCACAGGAGAAAAGGAAGACCTGAAAGGCTACTCTGCAGCAGAAACAATTGATTGACAAGTGCAACTCACTTTTTGTAGTTTTCTGGTGGTGACCATTTTGCTGAACTGCTTTGAGATCCCTCTCTGAAAGACAAAAACAATGATTTTTATGAATTCAGGATACTGACAACAATCACCTAGTCTCTCAACTCAAGAGGAATCAGCAGACTTTTCTTGACCTCTTGATACAGCCCCTTTCATAACCTCATTAATATTGAGAGCAATTAGTTTATGAACTGGATTAAGATAAGGTAACTGCCTGGGACAGCAGGGGACTTAATTTCTAGTCCTTCGGTCCAGTTGTTTTGCATTGTGATTTAATACAGTCACCAGTGATCCAAAGGAGGTGGGGCTGAAATACCCTTGCCTCCCACAGCCTGCACCTCCCAGTTCAGAGAGCAGGTAGAGAGTAGTTAGGTAAGACTCCCAGTGTAACTAGCTTCCATGCAGCAGAACACTCTAGAAGTAGCTGGGACGTGCAACAAACACAGAATTATATAATGCACAACCAAAACAAAATGTTGCAGAACTTATTATATAACCACCACCATGATGACATCTTCTAGCACACTTGAACACTGCACACCACAAGCACATATTGTATAACTATCTTCTGCTTCACTGTATTCAGGTTGAGGGGCTAAACTACACACTTAGGTAAGGTAGTTGGCATATTTCACTCGTTCTTGGAAGCCACAGATACAAACATAGCTAAGACCTGCATAGTAAAGAATGAATGTAACATTGTTGGACCACTTCCCAGTTCTAAGGTTTCAGTTCTGAAACCTATTTGCATGAATAACAACATATGCAGCTTACAGAATGGGGTGCCATCCAGAGGGACCTTGACAAGCTCAGTAAGTGGGTCCATGTGACTCTCATTAAACAATGGGTCCCATGGTTTAACAAAGCCGAGTGCAAAGTGCTGCACCCGGGTTGGGGCAACCCCAGTATCAGCACAGACTGTGGGATGAACAAATGGAGAGCAGCCCTTCTGAGAAAGACTGGGGGGTGTTGGTGGGTGAGAGACTGGACATGAGTCAGCAATGTGTGCTCACAGACCAGAAAACCAATCATGTCCTGGGCTGCATCAAAAGCAGTCTGGCCAGCAAGTCAAGGGACGGGATTCTGCCCCTCAACTCTGGTCTTCTGAGACCACACCTGGAAAGCTGCATCCAGCTCTGGCATCCCCAGCAGAGCAAGGACACAGACCTGTTGGAGTGAGCCCAGAGGAGGCTACCAAGTTAATCAGAGGGATGGAGCACCTCTCCTATGAGGAAAGGCTGACAGACTTGGGATTATTCAGGCCGGAAAAAAAAGGCTTTGGGGTGACCTAATTGCGGCATTCCAGTACCTGAACGGAACTTACCGGAAAGACAGAGAGGGACTTTCTAAAAGAGCATGTAGTAATAGGACAAGGGGAAATGGTTTTAAATGGGGAGTAGCTTTAGATTGGATATAAAAAAAAAAAAAAAATTCTTAACTGTGTGGTTAGTGGGGAATGGCACAGGTTGTCCAAAGAAGCTGTGGATGCCCCATCCCTGGAAGTGTTTAAGACAAATTGGATGGAGGGAGCTCTGAGCAACCAGGTCTAGTGGAAGGTGTCCCTGCCCATAGCAGGCAGGTTGGAAAGAGATCGTCTTTAAGGTCCCTCCCAACCCAGGCCATTCTATGATCTACCTGCTATCCACTCAGGGAGAATTTTTTCTGCTGTAACTCTATAGTACTGATACTAAAGTGATGAGAAAAAAAGGCCCAGAAGAAACACGGAGGAAGGCTGCCCTGTTTTTTTAATGGCTTTGAAGTTGTAAAGGAGAATCAGAAAATTTCAAAACTGAAAAGACTGAATACTGTATTTCACTGTTTCCATGAGCCAGCGAAGATGAAGACCTTAGCTAATGAGAGGCTCCTCTCCTTTAGACACCTGCAGAGCCAGAAAATTCCCCACTAATTGGTGAAAATTCCTTGTTATCTAAGAGAAGTGGAGGAGTAAGAGAAATGCAAAAGAAGGAAGAGGACACAAAAGAATTGGCTAACTGAGGGATTCTGGTGTACGCTTGTGTTCTTGTGTTACTTGTTCGCATGTATAACCCATGCTGCTTCTGAATTACTTTTTTTTTTGTTTTCAACAGGCAATCTAAAAGTTATGTTTGCAAATTTTTTTTTTGAAAGGCAAACTGATTTTATGCTGCAAAAGTTTAAATCTTCGGGCTACGCGTATCAGAGATCCCTCAACACTGAGGATTTGCATCACTGCCCACAGAGGTAATAACATGTCAGCCCATTCAACTACTACACTTCTGAAAAGACTGCCAGTGCTTTTAGAGAGGACAAAACCACAGCTGGGCTTAACCTGGGCTCATCTAGCTAAGATGTTCACAGTAATTCAGTGTCCTTCCGTGAAGTTTCTTTCTGACTACTCTGTCATAATAGAAAACAGGCACAAATCCTGATGCCTATCTGTGGACTACACAACTCATAAAACAACAGTTCAGAAACAGCCTGGCTTGAAACGCCAGGGTACAGGCAGCATCCATGCACAAAGGAAGGCACAGCTCTCATGCATAAATCTGCAACACAACACTGGGGTGTAAACTGGAGATACAAAGCAGGAAACTGTCTGTGGGTGAAGAAACACTCACGCCTTACCCAGTTAGTTTTTCGTGACACTGCTTGCACACCTTTTGCTGCGTGTTTCCACAGCGGGGAACAACAGCAGTGAAGCTCCGGCAGGCCGAGCAGAAGGACCGTCCGCAGTTCTTGCAGCCACACTGCAGAGACAGAGAGAGGGGCAGGGCAGGGCTTCACCACCCCGTCATCACACACCCCCACCGCCCTGACCGGCCGCACGCAGGCACAGTGCCCGTGACAAGGCACACACAAAACAACGCTGGGGCTGTGCTGATTTTTTGTCAGAGAACTGTATTAGCAGCTGCTGATGAAGATACGGAGACTTTCGAGAACCAGCACGTAACTCCTGCTGGGAGCTGAGTCACCACTTCATCCCATAGTATAACAAAGTGTGTGTATGGGAATTGTCTGAGACAATGAACGAATGCGGGATTAGTTTTCCCCTCTTTTTTCTGGTTTTTTTTTTTTTGTTGGTTTTTTGGGGAGGTTTTTTGGTGTTTTTTTGGTCAGTAATCTCCCACGTTTTAAGACAGATTGCAACTAGGCACCACAGGAGCTCAGTAAGCAAGGACAAGAATGCCGGGATGCTGGCCGGGAAGCTGTCTCGGCGCAGGAGGAGGCGGTTCCCAGTTCCCCTCTCAGACCCTCGCACTGTGGGGGCGTCACCCGCGGGACCGGCCGGTCCTGACCCCCCGCAGCCGGACTTGCCTCTTTCTTGAAGACAGAAAACTTGGACGCGCATCCATAGCACCGGCTGTCCATGGCGCTACCGGAGGCGCGACCCAGCCTCAGGCGCGGCGCTGCGCCCCCGCTGAGCCAAGCTCCATGGTCCCCCCCGCCCCGTCCCTTGGCTGCCTCAGGCCCGAGGGTCGGCGGCGAGCGGGGCTGGCATTAACGGGGAGACGCGGAGAGCGCCCGCCCGTCTTCAACACACCGAGATGGCAGCGCACGGCCCGACGGGAGTTGTAGTCCCTCGCCTCACCCTTCCCGGCGTCAGTCGACGGGCAGCTCTCCGTGGATAAACTACACTGCCCAGGGCTCCGCACGGTCCCAGTGCCGGGCCGCCAGGGCCGCCACCCAGGCCACCATCGCCGCGCGATGCATTGTGGTACCTGTAGTCTGGTGCCGCTGCTCTGGCCCGCCCGCAGCGCCATGGCCCGGCGGACATGAACCGTGGGTGTTAATTAGTCAAAAAAGTGACTTCTCTAATGCTGACAGGGTTGTCCCCCAATTACTCTCTTTTTTGAGGTCTTTTTTTGTCTTAAAGCTGTGGTGAGATCCTGGTTCAGAACAGCAAAAATCGACTGAATTGCAAAACTCCGGTTATCTCCAGCCCATCCTTGCCAAGGTTGGTCTGTGTGCCCTCAGAAGGGAACGTCCTGCAGGGTTTCCAGAAAGAGTTACTAAGTGTACCATGAATCATCCTGCTAACCGCGCGGGTTTTCAGGTGCATTTTGCATTCTTTTCTGTTTAATATGTAAGCTCACACTGAAAAAGCCTGCACAATTAAATTAGGAAACTGATTTATTCAAGGAAGTAAGACTCGTTAATACCTGAACAAAGCTAAATCGAAAGAAAAAAAAAATGGAGGTTTCCCCTCTCAATTTGTATTTTTGATTTATTTTCGTTTTACTTTTTGTTTTGGTTGGTTAGGGTTTTTTTGTTGTTGTTGTTGGTTGGTTTGGTTTTGGTTGGTTTGTTATTTTTAAAAAGCACTGGAAAGACAACTGTATAAAACTTGGAAGCTAAACTTTGCACCTCTCCAGCAATTATGCTGGAGACCACACGGAAACTATACGTATCGTAGGCATAAGCAGGGAATCGGGACAAATGTAAACTCAAATAAAAGACTTCATTGTCTTTGCTATTGAGCTGATCAATAGGAAAAGAGAAGAGGAAGTTTGAATCTTAATATTATAGTGCAACCTACCGACTGAGAGCTGAAATTTGGAGTGCCGCTCTTTAAGACAAAAATGCAGTGACCCAAAGAACCTTCCTATCCGGACAGCAGCACCAACACAGGGACACGGGAGGGAGCGACTTAGTTAGAGACACTGAAACATCCTTGTTGAGAAACGCCTCGGCTGAATTTGCCGGATGGAACTGAGCGCCGTGCCTGGAGAAGAGGTACGACGCGTTCCCATTCCCGTCCTCGTTCCCCTGCAGGTGACCGCCAGAGGGGGCCCGGCCCCCGCAGTTCTCCCGTTCCTACATCAAAAGCCATTTGGCAACAGAACAGCAGCAGCTTTCCTTTATTTCTTCTATTACCCACTGATGTTTCCCATGATAAAGCAAACTCGATTATAAAATCCTATGTGACAACTTAGCCTGTAAGGTTTTCAATTTCTGTCTGAAATCCAGGAGAGATTGAACGGTTCATGTATCTTCTCCTTGCCAAACTCAGTTGTTGCACAGTAAGTTGTACATTCTCTGTCCTATATAGTTATAGCTGCAAAGGCTGTGTTCTTCTCTACTCGCTGTGAAACTGCCCCAGCGTATTAGACTTGGCCTTGATAATCTTGGGGCTTGATGGAACATGTCTAGAAATAAAGCTTTGGGTCTGAAAAAGTTTAAATTAAGTAAAAATGTGACCATTTGCCTACTAAATCTCCCAGGCTGTAATGTTTCTCCTTGCAGTTCAGTGTGGTGAATAGGGCAGATCATTAGCATAGTGAAATTGAAAACTGAGCTTCAGTACTCTCTTGCTGTTGCAATAGGCTCATTTTCTTTTATTAGATGAGGAACCAACTGTATAACAGCCTATCAAAAGCTGCCCTTATTTTCTGTCAGACATTATTTGCAGTCCTGAGTGATATAGATCAGGCAAAGTATAAAGTCAGGACCCTGAATTTCAGAAAACAAACTTCCAGGTCTTCAAGGAGTTAGTTAATAGGACCTTTGGGAAACTGTCCTCTGGGACAAGGGACCAGAACCAAGCTGGTAGATCTTTAAGATCTGGTAGATCATAATGTGCAAGAGCTCTTGATCCCCAGGTGTAGAAATCAGAAAAAGAAGGCAAGAGACTGGCATGGTTGAGTTGAGACTAAAGGGCAAAAAGGAAATGCACAGGCAGTGGAAGCAGGAAAGGGTATCCTGGGAAGAGCACAGGGCTGCTGCCTGGTTGTATAGGAATGGGGTCAGGAAGGCCTGGGGAGCTGAGGCACCTGTCCTATGAGAACAAGCTGAGAGAGCTGGGATTGTTCAATGGAGACAAGAAGGCTCTGGGGAGACCTTATTGCAGCCTTTCAGTACTTAAAGGGGACTTACAAGAGAGATAGGAACATGCATTTTAGCAGGGCCTGTTGTGATAGCATAAAGGGGAATGGTTTTAAACTAAGAGAGGGCTGATTTAGACTAGATATAAGGAAGAATTTTTTTTACAATGAGGGTGATGAGACACTGTAGCAGGTTGCACGGTGCCCAGTCCCTGGAAGCATTCAAGGTTAGGTTGAACAAGGCTCTGAGCAACCTGGTCTAGTTGAAGATGACTCTTCTCATTGCAGAGTTTTGGACAAGATGACCTTTAAATGTTCCTTCCAACACAAACTATTCTGTGATTCTATGATTCAGTGACTAGGGTTGTAGTCATGCAAGTGTCATCTCAACCACAGTTATTTACATATGTAAGAGACATGTATTTTAAATTAAACATAAAAAAAGGCCTATGAGTAGTATATTTTTGTGTGTTTCTGTAGTGCTTTATTCCAGGCTGTTTTTCTCTTACAGCAGTAATTGACAGATCTCTTTTCTGGTTCTTGCAGGGTACAAAAGCATAACACTTGAAGGCTCTGATTTGCCTCCAGGATAGGAACCAGGACAGTCTCAAAGCAGGTAAGAGCAGAACATCTGGACACAAACACTCTTATTTCTTCCACACACATGGGCTTTTGGAAGTGTGTCTCTCTTTAAAGGGATCTGGGTTTGTACGCAATTAAGGTAATAACTGTTTGTGTCATGAGGTATGCACCTCTATGGGAATACATATATAAATTCATTACTGTTAGATACCTCTGGCTTTTGATTTCAAAAGTGTGTTAAGTGAGTGCTGAACTTTCATTAGAACCTCTGAAAATCTTCCTATGGTAGTATTTGAATCCTAAACTTTTGGCTGTACTGTCCACTGTTTCTACTGGCTGGTTACTCTTGATTCTTACATCTCAGATTATGAATCTTAAGAGCAAGCTTATATATAATATTTATATATGTGGGCAATGGCTGTTGTGGAAGGATTATTGTCTGTTAGATGCAAGTCCCCTTACACTGTGCATTTGGGTTACACCTAAGCTCTAAGTGAGTCTTATGGCTTCTCCGTTTTTGATTCACAACCAGCTGTGGGTCAAGGTGAGTGGCCATGATTTTAAGAAGGAAGGATGCCATTCATGAGGATGTTTTCTACCTTGCATTTTCCTGTTTGGTGGGCCACAGATTTATAGATGAGTAATGGATAACTAAAGTAGAGACTACTGTCAGGAAACCAGAGATTTTAGAAATAATGAGAGGTTTTGATGTCTGAGGAGGGTCAGGAGGTGGTTTGGAGCACGTGTAGAAGCTCCAGCTAATGTGCATGTCCTTTAAGGAAAGCCATTAGCAAGCAACCCTTAACAGAAATCATTAAAAGCAGAACCTTAGATTTCAGACTGAAAAGTCTTTTTTTCTATGAAATAGAGAACTTATTCATCATGTTATATTTCAGCCTGTGTGTACATTCAGGAATGTGTTTCTACATCGTTACTGTTGAAGAGCTTGCTTACAAATAAAGCACCCTGAACAACTCGCGTTGCCACATTTACTTAAAGCCATATTTCTAGGAACAAATTGCAAGACCAGTATTCCTATATGTGGTATATTGCTGTTTGAACATGTTATTCATGCTCTTTTACTAAATATGACTGAACATCTAAAACATTGGACCTATGTAGGGTCCCACATCAGGCCATGGGAAGGGAATCTAAAGTAATATTCAAGTTACAAAGCGGTTCAGCACTATCTATTTAAAACAGGGATCCATTCAACTTTGTCATACAATTAGACTTGTCATGGGATTTTTACTTTTGCACCTCCATGAAAGTCCTCAGACTTGGGAAGAAGAATTAGCATTTTTACATTCTGAAGTTGAGGTTAAAAATAGAAGTAGAGTTTAATTTTCTGTCATGCTGCTGAAATTATTACATTCTCCAAAAAGGTGCCAATCTAAATAGTGAGCCAAATTAATTGAAGGGATACTTTTTATAACCAGAAGACAGGAACTTGTAAGAACTACAAATATTTGTTGCCTGCTGTGCATGCACTTTCCTACCATGATGCAAGCGAGCTCTAGACCCTCATGTCCATAATTTATCAATTATCAGTCCTCTATGGGTGAAAATTAACTGGTGCTTAAAAAGCAAGACATTACAGATCCTTAGAAAAACCCCAAAACTACACACACACAAAAATGTCATCATAATTCAAAATTTTCTTGGCTGCCTTCCTAGCACCAGGAAAGCAAATTGGCATTTTCCACATGCTCTTCTTCACAAAGGCATAATTTCAGCAAAACCTTTTATTATTTATTACATTTTGGCATCTCTCAGTTTGGCATTAGCATTTAATTCTGAATACATCAAATCAAGGCAAAGTGCTAGCTGTTTATGGTGGTGATTTCTTTCTCCTCTTCAGCCATCTCCTCAGAGGAGGAAGATTTTTCTCTACAGACAAGGTACTTCACACCTAAAATGTTCTCCAAAGAGAACATTCAATGAATGCACTTTGCATTAAGTTTTCAGGCCTCGTTTTCAAAAAGTATTTTGGTTATACCCCATGGACAATTTCAATATCCAACTCTGGCCACAGCAAAGTGGCAACAAGGTGCTTCACTCCATTTCCTCTCCCTCACTGCTTGTTCCTGCCACTCCTAACTGTTTCCTTAGTTAAATTTGTTCC